CGACCTTGGGAACGTCCCACTCACATTTCTCAGGCTTCAGGAATAGATCATTATCCTGAAGGTGGCGCAGAACCTCGCGTGTGACCTTTTCATGTTCCTCCCTGTTGGTGGAAAAGATGAGGATGTCATCTAGGTACACGAGGATCTTGCCACCAACAATGAGATCGTGGAAGATCTCATTCATCATCGCCTGGAAGTGTCGCGACTTGAGGTCAAGCGACTGGGGGAAAACCTAAGGGCTGGGGGCGTCCAACTAAGTCTTACCGAAGCAATGGTGAGCTACGCTCAAACCTAAGGCTAGGGACAAGATAGTATATTAGTTAGTTAAGTAAGAAAGGAATACAAAGGGGAGCTTACTGACCTAGGGACAAGAGGTCGAAACTGAGGTCCCTAGGGCAGCAGAGGCCGGTTTATATACATGGGGAGATTAGGGCAGGCTGTGCGCGTTGGTCCGTGCGCAGCTGGTCTGTGCACAGCATGCCGACGCGGCCCCGGGGGCCGGTGAGTCAGAGCGGCTGTGTCAGCGGAGCCCGAGCTGTGCCGTGCACTGCCGCCCCATCTAATCTAATCGTACAGTAGATAGTGACGCGTCCATATCAGGCAGGTAGTACAGAGGTCGCGGGTTCGAGTCCGCAAAAAGGAAAAATTAAAAAACGGCTAGGCGCCGTACCAACTCGTGACATTACCCCCCCCTCAACGGCGCATGACCTCATGCGAGGCGCCCTTGCCCATCTCCCACCCGGAGCGGCAGCGTGCTTCAGTCAGCGGCGAAGGCATCGGCTGGAAGTTGAGACCACCAAAGGTAGCAGCATTGAGGCGGCGAGGGGCATTCGGGTTCTTCCGGTGGAAGTCGGCTATGAGGGCCGGCGCATTGGCAACGTTGCGCGCCGGTTCCCATGACGTATGTGAATCGTCATAACCCTTCCACTTGACGAGGTACTGTAGTTGACGCCGGAAGATCCGCGAATCCTTGATCCGCTCAACCTCGTACTCCTCATCGCCCTCAACCTCGATCGCAGGCGGCTCCTCCGGCTCCCGGCCCGGGATATCGCTACGCGTGTACTTGCTAAGCAAGGAGACATGGAATACCGGGTGCACCGGCACCGACTTTGGCAGGACTAATTCATAATCCAGGTCTCTGAGCTTTCGCCGCACGGCATATGGTCCAAGGCGCTTGGGACTGAGCTTCTTGCTCGGCTGTTTCAGCTTAAGGTTCCGGGCATCAAGCCAGACCTTGTCCCCTGGCGCGAAGACCGGTGCCTGTTGCACATGCTTGTCGTAGTACACTTTCATGCGCTCGGCTGACAGCTCGAGCGCAGAGCGCGTGTCGTCGCGAATCTCCTTCAGGATTTTGAGCCGATCAGCGGCTGCAGGCATTGCCGACATTGGATTGATCTGCACTTGAATCTCAGGATGGTACCCCTGATGCAGGAAGAATGGGGAGTGCCCGGTCGCAGAGTGAACTCGGTTGTTCAGTGCGAATTCCGCAAGCAGTAACTGCTTCGCCCAATCATCCTGCCTGTGGCTTGTGAAGGCACGCAGGTACTGCTTGATCTCCTGATTCCAGCGCTCAGTCTGGCCATCCGTCTGGGGGTGGAACACTGTGGACAGCGCCGGCTCGATCCCAAGTCCCTTGTACACCGCATGGAGATATTTCGAAGCAAACTGGGGACCTCGGTCTGATATGACCTTGGCCGGGGCCCCATGATGCTTGAACACATCGCGGATGTACAGGTCTGCCGCACCTTCTGCCGTCAGGGTCTCATGACAGGCTGAGAAGTGGACCTGCTTTGTGAAGCGGTCGGCGGTAACCAGGATCGAGTCGAATCCATCAGACTTCGGCAAGCCGATGATCATATCAGTCGTGATGATCTGCCACAGGCGCTCGGGGATCTCGTTCGGCTTCAGCGGACCCTGGGGCTTGGCTGGGAATGTCTTGGTATGGTTGCACACATCGCAGGTGCTTACGTACTCATTGATGAATTTGGACATCCCAGGCCACCAGTAATTCCGCGACACGAGCTCCAGGGTTTTGGCACGACCGCCATGACCGGCGATCGGCGAGTCGTGGTGGATTTTGACTATATCCCGCCGGAGCTCCGCGTCCTTTGGGACGTACACACATCCGCGGAACAGCAGGAGCCCTTGTTCGGCATTCCACTCCTCAAAACCCCTTTGCAGCCGGGACGGCCCGAGGTCCTGCACCTTTTCAAGCGCCTCAGCCACCTCCCGATCTTTCTCCGAGCATTCCCGGATGCGCTTCAGAAGCGACTGATCGGCCGTCACCGAGGCATGACCGCGCCGGGCGGAGGCGATGCGGAAGCGCTCTGGCTTGAGGACTATCTGATCGGTGTTATTGTCCTCATCGCCGATCTGATGGTCTGATCGTCGTGACAGGGCATCAGCCTTTCCATTGGACGTCCCGGCCTTGTGTGTGATGCGGAAGTCGAAGCGAGCCAGGAACAGCGATCATCGCGCTTGACGGCGCGTGAGATGCTGGGATGTACGCCAGTACTCGAGGTTCTTATGATCGGTTACGATCTCGAACTGATTGGGTAATCCTTCGAGATAGTGGCGCCAATCGTCTAGCGCCTCAATGATTGTGAGCATCTCCTTATCGTAGATTTCGTAGTTCCGCTGCGCCGGATCCATCGCATGGGATCTGAAGGCGATGGGATGCCATTTGCTGTCATCCTACTTCTGCATCAATATGCCGCCCGTGGCATAGCCCGAGGCGTCAACCTCAATGCGCGTCTCCCGATTAGGATCGTACAGCGCCAAGACTGAAGTCGTCGCAAAGAGCCGCTTGAGCTCATCGAAGGCATGCTGCTCTTCCTCGCCCCAATGCCATGGGTCATTCCCGGTGAGCTGGTCGAGTGGTCGCGAGATCTTAGCGAAGTCTTTAATAAAGCGGCGGTAGAAATTGGAGAACCCCCGGAACTTCTGAACATCTTTTTTGTTCCGGGGAACCGGCCACTCATTGATTCCTTTCAGCTTCGCGGGATCCATCGCTACCTCATCGCCACTGAACACATAGCCGACGTAGTCGACCTTGGGAACGTCCCACTCGCATTTCTCCGGCTTCAGGAACAGATCATTATCCTGAAGGCGGTGCAGAACCTCGCGTGTGACCTTCTCATGCTCCTCTTTGTTGGTGGAGAAGATGAGTATATCGTCTAGGTACACAAGGACTTTGCCGCCGACGATGAGATCGTGGAAGATCTCATTCATCATCGCCTGGAAGGTCGCGGGGGAGTTGGTGAGACCGAAGAACATCACCAAGGGCTCGTACAACCCTCGGTTAGTTACAAACGCCGCCTTCCACTCGTCACCGGCTTTGATCCGGACATTGTTGTATCCCCATCGGACATCGAACTTCGTAAAGAGTGTAGCACCGCGTAGCTTATCCACCATCTCGGCGATCAACGGCAATGGGTAACGATTTTTGACCGTGATCGCGTTCAATCGGCGGTAGTCCTGCATGGGTCGAAGTGTCCCTTCCTTCTTTTTGATGAAGAAGAAAGGTGACGAAATGGGCGACTTCGACTCCCGTATATAACCTTTCGCTAACTGCTCCTTCAGGAACTTGTCAAGTTCTTCCTGTTCATTGTTCGACAGGGGGTACACTTTCGAGTGGAACATCGAGTAACCGGGCACGAGTTCAATCGCGTGATCGTAAGGCTTCCTTTCGGGTAGCCGTTCTGATGCTTCCTTGGAGAAGACATTCAGGAACTCGTGGTACTGTTTAGGTACCGACTCCTCGGCGGTCTTAACGACCTTCTTTTTGATCTCCTCCTCAGCAAACAGCTGGGAGTACGTATGTCCTGCTGCAACGAACAGCTGAGGAGCGCCGGGAAGCGTGATACCTTGCTTCCAGGCTTCGATCAAGTCGGCCTCATCCCACTCTACTTCCGCCAGATCTTCTTCGGGTTCGAAGTCCGGGAGCACCTTACTCCAGCAGGCACCTATAACCGACCGTTTGGACTTCAGCGAACGCCTGCGCGCCGTGGGCCTGACCCCCGTATCACGCACAGTCGTTGCTTGCTCCATCCGGTTAGTTTTCCTGGCACTGCATGTCTCAGGGCATCGTGATAACTTTAGGGAGCCTGACTCCCAGTCGATTTCAGGGTTGTGCTCTCGTAGCCAATCCAACCCGACGATCACATCCTCTGGACCTATGTCCGTGACCGTAAACACCGTCTTCTCGACGTGTTCTCCTATCTGCATCTGTAGTATGGCTACCTCCGAGATGCTTCCGTCTTTATTGAGCGTTCCATCGATATTGTAAAGCGGGATTGGCTCTTTCAATTTCCGTGTTCGTACTCGATTCTCCGTGATGAAACGCTTGTTGATGAACTTTGTGGTGGCTCCGCTGTCCACCATTGCAACTATATCCTTGTGCCGTCTTTCTTCTTTGAGGCGCACCGGGATGTGGAAGTGCTGGGACCCGTGGTCCAACTCGTAAACATTCGCGGTCGCCAATACATTGTACAAATTGTTATTACGAGGTCCGACGCGTGCGGCACGAAGCGCGGACCGGATCAAAAAGACTCTTCTTTGAGCGCTCGATAGTGCTCCAACTCCTCGCGCATCGACTTCATCTGTGCTATTAAGTCCGCCAGCTCGGAACTTTCCGATTTCGCTGAAGCGGCGCTTATACTCGCCGAGGATGAAGCGACGGGGGCGCTTGTCGCCGCCTGGGTGGAACCCGAGGCAACCGTAGCCCGCGCATCGGCGCGTTTTGTGTAAGGTTTATCCTTACAGTTAGGGCACTCGAAACGACGGTACCCTTGCTTCCCGCAGCCAAAGCACGTGCCGGGGAAGTCTCCTTTTCTGACGGCCGCGTTGATGCTGGCCGAAGCTGTGTGTGACGAGGGTGCACCACCACGTGCCCCACCGCGACCTCGACCTCGGGCCGAGAAAAAGTTGTTCAACTCGGGCCGACGGGCCCGGCTAATGTCGAGGATCTGCTCGACCTCAGTGGCGCGCTTGTCAGCATCTTACCACGTGGTGAAAGTCTCGAGCTCGATCTTTCGGTACACGCGGGAGGGGATGCCGCTCAGGTACTTGTCGCGTAGCTCCAGGTCCCCATACCCAGAGCGATCCGCCGGACCCTTGAACAGCGCGGAGAACTCCGCAGCGGTGCATTTTTCGCGGACCGATTTGTCCGCACAGAGCTTCGCCAGCTCCACTTGTGCTGCTGCCGCATCGTCGAGATTACCGAAGCGGGCCTTGAAGGCAGCGGTGAAGGCCGCTTCGTTCCTGAAGGGGGTTGTAACCCCTTGTACACCCATCTGCACCGACGCGAGTTGGGCAAAGTAAGGCGTGGCCCAGGCGCGGGCGTCGCCGTCGAGCAGACTCATTGCAACTTGCACCTTAAGTTCGATGGTGGTCAGCGACGTGTTGACCAGCCAGTAGATGCGGAGTTGTGACAGGAACCTGTTGCACTCGATGACAGTTTTGCCGTCATAGCGGAGGGGGAGAAGGAGCTTCAGGGTCTCCTTGTCAGGTGCGGCGGCGGGAGAAGACATTATCGGCGTCGGGGGGGACGGAGGACGCTGCGGGGGCGGAGGCGGCTGTGGTGGCCCTCCGCTGGTCGAATTTCGAGAGGAGCGAGTGCTCGAGCGGCCTCTCGGCGGAGTCAGCGGTGAAGGCGCCGGAGGAAGTTCGGCGGGGGGGTTACGTACGTCAGGGATTGCTGACGCGGGGGCGAACGCTGTCGGCGAGGCGGACCCAACAGAATCCTCGGACTCGGACTCCGAGACTCCTTCTTCACCCTCACCCTCCTCAGGCTCAGGCTCTGGCGCAGGGTCTGGAGGGAGATCTCCTCGCGCTTGACTGGACTCGGCGACAGTTTGGGGAAGGCGGGAGGTAGGGGAGACAGGGCGAGAGTGCCGTGAGGCGGATCGAGACGCAAGGGTGCTTCGGGGTCCGAGCGGGTGTTGCGCTCGTCGGATCGCTTTGTAGCGTGGGTAGTCTTCTGGGATTGATCGGGGGGTTCGGTTCGGGCACGGCTGTTGTTCGCAACGATAGATGATAGTCTCAGGGCCGTCTGGGATGTAGACGTCGATAAGGTCCTGAGAGTCAAATGCGTGAACTTGGCCTTGGCAGGCAGCCACGTTGGATGGGGGGAGGAAGGGGAGGTGCGCGTACTAAAAATGGCCGTACTACACTAGCTTACGTTACGGCGCCCGAGAAGACCCTGAGGTTCGCAGTTCACGTGGGGCCCAGTACTGCTTTTGGCTAGTATGCAGCAGGAACCTAGTCCACGCGTCCGTGAGGACAAACACCGCCCACTGAAGTGCAGGTGTTGAAGAGTTCGTTCCTCTAGGGGTGGCGATGTATGTAAGGCTACCTACGTATCGTATGTACCGTAGGGTATCGTAGGGGTGCGCACCACCCGACCTGTGGGAAAGGAAAGTGAATGTGGGAGTCCCGAGAGGACGCCGGCAGCTTGGGGAGTTTCGACCTAATGTCGTGACTTGAGGTCAAGCGACTGGGGGAAAACCTAAGGGCTGGGGGCGTCCGACTAAGTCTTACCGAAGCGATGGTGAGCTACGCTCAAACCTAAGGCTAGGGACAAGATAGTATATTAGTTAGTTAAGTAAGAAAGGAATACAAAGGGGAGCTTACTGACCTAGGGACAAGAGGTCGAAACTGAGGTCCCTAGGGCAGCAGAGGCCGGTTTATATACATGGGGAGATTAGGGCAGGCTGTGCGCGTTGGTCCGTGCGCAGCTGGTCTGTGCACAGCATGCCGACGCGGCCCCGGGGGCCGGTGAGTCAGAGCGGCTGTGTCAGCGGAGCCCGAGCTGTGCCGTGCGCTGCCGCCCCATCTAATCTAATCGTACAGTAGATAGTGACGCGTCCATATCAGGCAGGTAGTACAGAGGTCGCGGGTTCGAGTCCGCAAAAAGGAAAAATTAAAAAACGGCTAGGCGCCGTACCAACTCGTGACAGGAAGGTTGTGGGGGAATTGGTGAGACTGAAGAACATCACCAGGGGTTCGTACAGCCCTCGGTTAGTCACAAAGGCCGCCTTCCACTCGTCACCGGCTTTGATCCGGACATTGTTATATCCCCATCTGACATCGAACTTGGTAAAGAGCGTGGTGCCACGGAGCTTGTCCACCATCTCGGCGATAAGTGGCAAAGGGTAGTGGTTTTTGACCGTGATCGCGTTCAACCGGTGGTAGTCCTGCACAGGTCGAAGTGTCCCTTCCTTCTTTTTGATGAAGAAGAAGGGGGACGAAATGGGCAACTTCGATTCCCGTATATAGCCTTTCGCCAGCTGCTCTTTTAGGAACTTGTCCAGTTCTTCCTGCTCGTTGCTTGACAGGGGATACACCTTCGAGTGGAACGTCGAGTAGCTGGGTATGAGTTCGATTGCGTGATCGTAAGGCTTCCTTTCGGGTAGCCATTCTGACGCTTCTTTGGAGAAGACGTTCAGAAACTCGTGGTACTGTTTAGGTACCGACTCCTCGGCGGTCTTGACGACTTTCTTTTTGATCTCTTCCTCAGCGAACAGCTGGGAGTACGTATACCCTGCTACTACAAACAGCTGAGGAGCGCCGGGAAGCGTGATACCTTGCTTCCAGGCTTCGATCAAGTCGGCCTCATCCCACTCTACTTCCGCCAGATCCTCTTCGGGTTCGAAGTCCGGGAGTACCTTACTCCAGCAGGCACCTATGACCGACCGTTTGGACTTCGGCGAACGCCTGCACGCCGTGGGCCTGACCCCCGTATCACGCGCAGTCGTCGCTTGCTCCATTCGGCCAGTTTTCCTGGCACTGCACGTTTCAGGGCATCGCGATAGCTTTAGGGAGCCCGACTCCCAATCGATCTCGGGGTTGTGCTCGCGCAGCCAATCCAACCCGACGATCACATCCTCTGGACCTATGTCTGTGACCATGAACACCGTCTTCTCAACGTGATCTCCTGTTTGCATCTGTAGCACGGCTACTGTCACGAGTTGACACGGCGTCTAGCCGTTTTTTAATTTTTTCCTTTTCACGGGCTCGAACCCGCGACCTCTGTACTACATGCCCGATATGGACGCATCGCTATCTACTGTACGATTAGATTAGATGGGGCGGCAGCGCACGGCACAGCTCGGGCTCCGCTGACACAGCCGCTCTGACTCACCGGCCCCCGGGGCCGCGTCGGCATGCTGCGCACAGACCAGCTGCGCACGGACCAGCGCGCACAGCCTGCCCTAAACATCCCCTGTATATAAACCGGCCTCTGCTGCCCTAGGGACCTCAGTTTCGACCTCTTGTCCCTAGGTCAGTAAGCTCCCACTTGTATCCCTTACTTACCTTTGCTAACTAATATACTTTCTTGTCCCTAGCCTTAGGTTTGAGCCTCGCTCACCATCGCTTCGGTAAGAACTAGTCGGACGCCCCCAGCCCTTCAAGGTTTTCTCCAGTCGCTCGACCTCAAGTCGCGAC